GGGAGGGAGGGAAGGAAGGGAAGGGAAGGAACACATACACGCGTGATATTTCCTGTATCTCTTGTATTGTTATTTTTTCAAATGGATGGAGGAAAATATTCATTATCCTACCTTAGGAATTAAGAGTTAGTATAGATTTTGCCAGGCTTTGTTGATGGTTTATTAGATAATTTCAAATAGCTGGAGTTCATAATGAAAGTAGCATCCAATACTGTAGATCCCACTGTCATCACTTGAAAGTATTGTGCCATTTTATATGCCTCTGTCAAATGTGTCACTATAAGACCCAATGCTGGGTTGAAAGTTGGGGGTTATAGTCCCAGAGACCTAGGAAAGGATAGGCTTCTGTGTTTCTCCATCCTCAGAGTGAGGCACTACAATGGCTATTCCAGGCCCCAGCAATCAGTGATCAACACAGGTTGGGGTGGGCATAGTTTCATGTGATGAGAAGGTCCTCCTGCCAGATGATGTCACCTACCAGAGGATTAGAATACTTTGGCCCCTCCTCTTCTGGACAGGAGTATTTTTACTTCCCACGTTCTCCAGAAAGCAAAAAACAAAACTGACATTCTATAACGATCAATCCCATCATTTCATTTATAGTACCCAACATTCATTGAATAACTATGTTTTAAGTGCCTACTATATGGTGGAAGAGACACAGTCCATGTCCTAAAGTGAAAAGAAAAGATTCAATAAAAGGGAAAAACTCCAAATTTCACTCATGCTCCCTCCCTCCATTTTTTTATGGATTATAAAAGAGAGGAGTGATATTTCAGTAGGGATGAAGCCCTGGAAACAAATGTATATTTATAAATTATCATTAAAAAATGCCCAGCTCAATCAATTTTCCCCCAAGTCACTCCCGATTGGGCTTGGAGTGAATAATAATATCCATAACAATAAGGAGATTTTAAACAGTCCAATCTTACCCTAAAAATTTCTGTGTTAAGTATGAAAGCCATATTATAAAAATCTTAGTGGACGGAGCAGTCTGAAGCAGGTGGCAATGTAACACAGTGTTGGAAATAACAGTTGCCAGTGTTTATTTACCAGATTCTTCACTTTAAAAATGTTTTTATGGAATTGGAAGAAAAATTGCAGACAGCTGATCCCAGGCAGATCACTGCAAGGAATCTTGCCTCCTGCTCCTCAACCACAAAGGAAAAATAATCCATCCGTCATCACAAAGGAATGGGGAGGAACTAAAAAGGAAGGTGCAAACAGATGAGGACAAGTTTTATTTTTTAGAAGAAGGATTTCTCAACCAAAAGAGATGCTGAGTGAAATTGCTGTGGAAATTTAGCAAACTGAGCTGTGTCAGTGGCAAAGTAGGTACATATTGTTCTTTTGTGACCTTAGAGTCACTCATACAGAGTCTTGACATTGCTGGGCTTCACAAATTGCAGTGTCAGTAACATTCTGGCTGGTGGACATGATAAGCAGTTCAAAGGTGATCTTACAGTAGTGATACAGCATTTTGTCACGTTTCATAGTGCGTACTGTAATAAACTGATTCACTGCCTGTGCATTGCTTCTACTAAGAATAATAAAACTTAACTATCTTTCTGAATCATTCCGATTTGTTGTTCTGGAAAAAAAATCCTGAAAAATAAAACTAAGTGTTAAATGACTTCCGCTGTTTCTGCAATGTCAGGTAGTTCAGGAAGAGAATAAAAAAAAAAGTGACTGGCCCAGCTGGCATGGCTCAATGGTTGAGTGTCAACCTATGGACCAGGAGGTCATGGTTCAACTCCTGGTCAGGGCACGTGCCCGGGTTGAGGGCTTGATCCACAGTGTGGGGTGTGCAGGAGGCAGCTGATCAATGATTCTCATACATCACTGACGTTTCTATCTCTTTCTCCCTCTTCCTTCCTCTCTGAAATCAAATATATAGATATATATTTTTGAGTGACTAAAATACCTGAAAGTAGCCCCTAGGAGCCTTCAGAGTGAATAATCTCCCACAGATCTAGAGAGAAGAGGGACAAAAGAGGGGACAAAAGAAGTATCGCGTGTCCCTCAGAACTAGGGGGTGTTAATGAACAGGGATTGCTCAAGATAAAGTAGTGGTGGCGAAAGAGTACTTCTGTCTTCCTTCAAAAAGATAGGGCTGAAGAGCCAAGGCCCAAGAATAGCCATAAAAACAACAAAAGATAGACAAATATGATTTTTAAACACATAATAAATTATTGGAGAATTGGGGCTGTCTTCATAATCAATATGGATGATTCCTGGGGAAAATCGTGTTGCTGGAACAGTTTCAGTGGGCATTGCAGCACAGTGAGATTGGTGGGCTTTGGGATCAAGCCTGCCTTGTTTTAAACAATGGTATCAGTACTTTCTAACCATATATCTATAGGCAGATTGCTTTATTCTGCCATGTGATAGCAATAATAATAATACTTAGTATCTATTACATAGCAGAAACCAGTGCTTTGCGCACATCATTTCATTTAATTCCCATTGCAATATTATGAACAGTGTATTGGTGTCCCTACTTTTCATATTTGAGCTAAGATTCAAATATGTAGAGTAACTTGTCTTTCAGAATGCAACAAGATTGGTGAAAGCAATGGACCTAGAACTCTATTTAGTCTCGCAGGCTTCACTCAAAACACATATGTGATTCCTATTGAGTATGTACATTTAAGAACAGCAAAGAAAAAAACATAATTATTAAGCTCTAAAATTTCTGAAACAATTAGGGAGCTAGGTGAAAAATATTCTCATTTTCCATATGTGACATACTAAAGGTCACTCAGCTAATAAATGCCAGGGTCTGAGACTGGAACCTAAAACCAATAGTATTGATCCAGTGCTCTTTCTACTAAAACATACACAGCACATCATCGACATCATCACCATTACCATTATCACAGCACCCTCACTATTATAAGCATCATTGTCAACATCATCATCCACCATCACTATCATCATTATTACTACCAACACCATCATCATCATCACCATCATCATAAGGCTGACAAGAGAACTAAAACATCTACATCTGGGCTGGGGCTAGACATAGATCTAGTACAGACATCATTGTGAAGTATATGCAGTTCATCTTGTCTCCCTCAAGACTAAAGGTTTAAGGGACAGATCATATATTTTCCATGATTAGAAAAGGCTTTCATCACAATTATTAGGGCTCTCCCCACTTCAAACTATACCTTCTCCTCACTCTGAAATAATACTTTGCACAAGAGAAACCCACCAGATTATAGCAAACTTAAAACACAACTAATCAATTTATCTTCAGAATGTTGTCATAATTGTCCTGACTATATTTGCTAATTATTGATGCTCTCCAGGTTTACAAAGAGATTTGTCCATCTGTTTTCCTAGTTTGAACATGAAATGAATTTGTGGAGGAAAAGCTGTGACAACAGCCTCACTTCTCCCAGGCAACAGATTATGATGCTACACACCCAATTATTATATTACTGTAGAATCTACTCAGAAGGAAAGAGCTGATCCCAGCACAAACTAGCTGAAAGGCCAGCAAATGGCAGGATAATAAAATAATAGTAACAGCTAACACTTATTGAGCGCTCGCTGTATGCCAGGCACCACTCTAAGCACTTTACTGCATTAACTCTTTTTACCCCACCAAGTTAATTATTTCTAGTATACCTCACTGTTGCTATAGCCAAGTTATCTACACACAGAGGAAAAAATTAACCAACATGATTCTAGCACCACAAACTATATTCTCCTGAGCTTGATTTCCCTGACTCATTGCCTGTGCTTCCTGATATTCATACAGTTAATGGATTATATATAAGAGCAGAATCAGGTGATAAATACTTGGAATCTAAGCAGTTTATCTCCAGAGTCCATTTTTTAAACTCCTATGCTATATTGGGAAACAAGGAGATAAAGTCAATTCATAAAGGTTACAATCAATAGAATCCATAGAATTATAGCATTTTAGGATTAATGCAAAACTGTAAAATATTAAATGTAGGTATTCAAATATTACAGAGAATATTTCTTAATATTCTAAAAAATAATAATAAACAACTTGTACCAAGTCTCTTTGTATTACATATCATGCCAAGCTCAAGAAAATCAAGCAAGCACAACTTGATCTCAATCTTTGAGTTTAATTTGGGACTAGACATAAATCACATTTATTCCACAGCATTTCACTTATCATTTGTGAAAAATTATAAAGCCCATGATTTAAAATGATTCCCATGTGTTAGTAACTAAGGTGAAACATATGGAAAGTAGCAAACCTCAGGAGAAACATTGAGTTGAACACACACTTGGCCAAACAGATCTTTCATGTCCTATCTGGGCATCAACCCTTTTGAAAACAATGCATGCCCCACTTATCAGAATTTTCCTTTCTCGATATCATAAAGAAAGGTTTAGAAGCATCCAAGTATCCAGTGAAGAGCTGAGGCCTCCCTCCACTTCCCGTCTGTATCAGAGGTACTTGTAAACAAAGTTTTCTCCTTTCATCAAGCTGAGAAATCCTGTCTCTTCTCAACCTGCGCCACAATCTTACTAACTCCACCACTAGTCTGAAGTTCTCTCTTGAAGTAATATCATTCATTTAGACAGCAAAATTTGCAAGTGTCCCAGAATCCAGGTAAATAAACTCAAGGAGTAGAAATTTATTCATAAGGTGCTAAATTGGAAGCTGTCAAACTAAATTAATTAAAGTAACCTGAATATTTATTAAAATGCATCCCATTCAGAGATTCTAATTTAGTGGGTCTGTGATAAAGCCAAGGAACCTACATTTGAAACAAGTGCTCCAGGTGAGTCTGATGCAGGGAGTTTATTCAAAGGCCACTTGGAGGAACGCAGTTCTATATCATACCATAAGCACTAGAGGGATGAGCACCCACCAAAGGGGGGGAGTATAAAACAGCCAAAAAGTATCTGGGACAAGATGGCGGCTACAGGCACTGGGCCAAGAAGAGGTAGGCCAAGGCGGGGAGGAAAGAACTGTGGAACTGCTGGCATTTGGAGGTGGATGACTACCAAAGACTAACTCTGCCTACCCAAAAAGTCTGCTTAGCTCTGTATATCTAGCTTATAAAATCATAACGTAGATTTAAAATTGACTCTGGATATGTAACATTCATATGGTGTAGAATAGAGAGAATTATAGTAATGGAAAGAAGCATAATTAAATAAGGGACATTGGACTCCAAAAAGCCTCTAAAAACAAGAGCATAAGTGATATTTTTTAAATCATCATTTTTTTTCAAAGTTTCAGATATAAGGCATTATCTTCAGCTAAGGACAAATTCTCTCCTTATTTTTCCAAGTCATGAGCAAATAGAAAAACACTCTTTAATCATTCCCTTTCAATATCTTACCTTCTACGTTGCCGGATTCCTGATAAAACCAACAGCGTGATTGCAACTATGACGATACAAAATACCACACCAAATATAATAATCCAGATGGGCACAGATGGTTCAGTGGGTGGTGCAAGAGTGGAAGGAATTTTTAAGAATTCCAGAGTCTGGTCATTCAAAGAAAAGGCACTGTTGATCCGGTTCCTATTCATTCTAAAATACAATGACAACAAAAACAAACAAAACAAGACAGAAAAAAATTAGGAACAGAAAATGTAGACCTATCTCTCCATGATTAGGCAGTTTGACGAGGGCATTCATGCTGTAGTATTCTTTTCATAAGTTGCTGTGCTCTTCTATGCACTACTGCCCTCCCTTGTTGCAAATGTCCTAGAAGTAGCCCTAACCGGTTTGGCTCGGTGGATAGAGCATCGGCCTGCGGACTGAAGGGTCCCAGGTTCGATTCCGGTCAAGGGCATGTACCTTGGTTGCCGGCATAT